AAAATTTCCTTAGTTGAAACCAGACATAAAAAAACCTACAATAATTTTAACTAATTCCCACCTTTTTTTCCTTTTTTTTTTTTTTTTTTTTTTGCTTAGCCTCATTTGAACAATTTATTCTTTGTTTCCTACTAGCTTTAAGTCATTTGGATTAATAAAAATTATCCTTACTAACAAGCTTTACTTATTTATGGGAGTATTCTAACTTGAATCTTGCGAGTCAAGGACATTGAGTTGGTTGGCTTGCAAGAGATGGCTAATGAATTCGTTGAGCAACAGACAAAGACTTATTTTAAAAAGGCAATCGTACGTTAGGATTTGAACAATGATGGTTATGTCTATAAACATAAAAACCAGTCTCTTTTTGCAGTCTAAATTTGATGCTTTGACCGATCATGTGGAGGAACATGATAAGAACGTAGCTCAACATAAAGTGGATATTGCACTCTTTTAATGAGTTTTTGCTTTATTTGAATGATGTATTTTTAAAATTTTTTTATTAAGATTTTTTATTTTTCAAAATTTTTTTATTTCAGATCAATTTTTTTATTATGTTATGAATCAATAATCAACACTTTTTCAAGATTCCTTACTTTATAATGTCATATGTCGATCGTTGATTGATTGCGTTATAATAAAGGGTTTGAAATAATAAATCTTAAAAATTAAAAGGTTTTAATCAAGTAAAAAAATATTTTAATTTTTAAAAAAAATTAAAAAATATATGTTCCAAATATGAGGGAAAATCCATCTTTTAGTTTCAAATGACTCGTTTCATTTGTAGAAATATTTGGCGTGACTTTTTAATTGGTCTTCACATGGATGCCGATAACTCTCAATGAGCCAATATGGATAAAGAGATGTCGGGTTGTGGGGAAGAAAAGGACCCCGTAAAGCCAACTTGGCGTCGAGATTCAATTCTTTTGGATGCCCTTGGTGCTTAATTTCAAGATCAAATTTCATTTCTTGCTTTTGCTTACCTTCATGATCAAATTTTATTTTATTTATTACTCTTAATTTTTGTAGATAAATTTTGTATATTTGCTTACTTATGTCGTGTACAATCTAGAATGCTAATTTTATGCTTTATTGCTTAATTAATATTCCGTTTTGGTTGATTGCAAAAGAGGGAGTAATAGGTTCTAGCTTGCTAAGCTTTGATTGGTTTTTTTTTTTTTTTTTATGCGAGCTATGTATGTTTGGATCGAACATGTTCTACTTGTGTTGAATTAATTGTTTGATAGATTCATTGTATTACACGAAGCTTAATTTCCTCATTCAATTCATAATTATCACTATTAATTTATCAAGATGGCATCAAGTTTATCCTAGGTGTTAAAATGTTACTCAAGTTTAGAACTAATCTGACTTCTTGAAAATACATCATATGCTTTGAAAAGTGAGTGTTTTCACACCCAGACTAGAAAAATTCATCTGGTAAGCCTAATGTCTCAAACCGAATAGAGAGAGAAATTTGTCTTTTTGTTGCTTATTCTCTTCAAGTTGTTAGGTTATAGTGTTGAAGACATGATCCCACTTGTTCCTACTTCAAATATCTTGATCATCATTTTGACACATGTCAAAAGCTAGAAAACTTTTCCTCTCGTTTTTTCTATCAAGTGGCAGTTTAAAATTCAACACTAATCTATCCAATTTAAGTCATTAGTTATGCCAGATTCACCCTACCATCCCAAAATATAAAATAACTATTTTGCACTAAAACGACTGGTTGTGCAACTATCTATAAATATATCATTCCTTCGCCTTTGTAAGGTGATGCAATCCTATTTTATATTTTATAAGCTTGCACTTTGATTATTCTCTACACTTTATATTGATTGTATCAAATTATTTTTATAAAAGAGCTTGATTAATCCCTTTTAAAGACTCAAGCTTTTCATCTTGTAGTCTATTTTTTGTTCTCGATTGTTTTATTTCATTCCTTATTTAGTGAAAAACATTGTTAATTTGTAAATGGTATTTCAAGGACTTGAAACTTTAGATAGTGACCTTTTGATGACTTAAATGATTGGGTTTCAATCTTGAATCTATAAAAAAGATCGTAAAGATTGACCATGAAGTAAGTTCATAAGAGTAATAACTAAGTCATTAGATTGATAATGGTAACTATTAACATATTTAACAACTAAGTCATTAAGTTATTGATGATAACTATTAATATATTTAACAAATAAGTCATCCTACCGTAAATTGCTCGAACCTTAAAAATATAATGTATGTTGTAAATTAACTAACTACGATCAAGGAATATCAATCTATAGAAGTTTTATATTTCACCAACTTCATGTAGATTACTATTTATTCATTCTAGATGTGGTTCCTATCCACAAAAAGCACCACTACCAATGCATTATATTTTTTATACTCCTTAAATTATTTATTCTTTCGAGATTTTTCTCTATTTGAAATATTTATGGCAAATTATTTTATACTTATCAATTTGAATCATGTGGAGGATTGATGGAATTTTTATACATTAATGTAATTCAAATTGATATTTAAATTGTTTTAACTTAATTATAATTTTTATGTTAATTTCTCGTTAATTATTATAATCAATGTTGATTGTTATATGACTCGTTTATAAGCGTTATAAATTTATTACAAAATTTAATTATCATCCAATATTTAATTTTTTATTTATTTTCTCTCGGTATAAGCATAAACATTTTTTAGGATTTTATAAAAATAGATATAAAATTACGTTTTCTCTTAACAAATATTATCTAGTTTTCAAACATAATTTTTTAGCATTCATATGTGTCCGTGCATAGTAAAATGCATGCTTATATATGATTGATTGTTAAGTCCTGGAGGGTAAGTTGCCTATAATCTATTACATGGAAACTATTCTTTGAGAGCCGAGACTTACTCTTAAGAATAGTGACTACATGCCTCGATTGACAAGTATGTCATATTATGATGTCTAGGCGATCGTAAATAATATGACTCGAAATGTAAAGCAACCTCAAAATTAATAAATTGGTTTTAAGAGTTTTGCATAAAAAGATTAATTACGCAATAAAAGAATACCACATTCATTCTAGTTTGCCTTCGTTGAGGTTAGAACTCAATTCTAAACTATGAGAATTCATTCATGCAAAGTTCAATCTTTGTGTTCACTTGTTTATCTTGATTTGCAAATTAATTATTGGATCTTTTCTAACTAGTTATAGATGGCGTGATTTGAAGACTAAAAGCAAACTCAATCTCTCAATTAAATTGTCATCGAGCCATTGAAGCCCATTTAGAAAGGTAAAAATCAAAGCTTAAAGCACATTTGCTAATTAAATACGTTGAGCTCAAACAATATATAAAATAATATCAAGTTTGGACTTTAGACCTAAATACACTACCAAACCATAAAAATAAAAATTCAAACCTTGAAACTGGCTAACAAAAAAAAAATCAACATAATAAGGACATGAGCGTTGAACCTAAATCGACTCGTAATGCCACTTAAATACAAAGAACTAGACCTAGTGCACAATATCAAATTTAGAGTTAAATCTACAAGAATGTAAAATTAGTAGCACTAGAAAGATAAAATAAAATAACCTAAAAATAATAATAACGATGATGATGGTGATGGTGATGGTGATGAAGAAGAAGAAAAAGAAAAAGCTTCATCATTGAAACTAAATTGATCTCAAGTCCTAAACCTACATATCTAAATTGACCTAAATAGACATTACATCAAATAATCACATCAAGCATAAAACATAAGCAAATCATATGCGCAAAGACCACAAATCACATAGAGACAACTACAAAGAAATTAAAATAGTCAATTGACCTCCACAAAATCCCTAGCTTATCGATTTATGTAGGCTTATTTTAATTTCTTCACCATAGAAAAAAGGTGATAGCCTATTAATATCTTCGTCATTGGTCAAAAGTATTTTAAAAAGAAAAATAAAATTGTAGATACTATCTAGTACATGTATCACCATTAAACCCTAATTAAAAATAAAATAATAACAAGGAATATATGAAAAAAAAAAAAAAAAAACTTGAAACCCGAAGCTACATATCCCAAATCCTAATCAAATCAAATTTTAGATATAGTTAGATCACACAAATTAAATTCAAAGCCTTTTAAATATGTTAAAATCAAGGATTTCAAATCAATTTATTTTCAATTAAATCCAATTCAAGTCCTAAACCTACGTGTCTAAATTGACCTAAATAGACATTAGGTCAAATAATCACATCAAGTGTATATCATAAGCAAATTATATATATAGAGCACATAAATCACATAGGGACAACTATAAAAAAAATTAAAATATTCAATTGACCTCTATAGAGGCACATGTAGCATGTGGATAGAACTAGGAGAGAATAAGGGCACATGTAGCATGTGGGACCGAACCGATTGAAACAAGCCGACATTAAGGATCTAATAGAGGCACATGTAGCATGTGGATAGAGACGGACCAAACCTTACTCGCGCTCATCCGATGGTTTCTAACGTCAAGATAGGCTCAATCTAGTGGTGTTCTCTTTGTATTCTCCGATCGATAAAGTTTTTTTGGGACGTGTAGAGGTAGTCGGACGGTGGTTGTATAGGCAACCATATCTTCTACCTTTATTTTATCTTATTTTATACTCGTTAGGGTTTTTTTTTTTATCTATATGTGTTAGTGTGTGTCCGGGTGAAAATTAGGCTATGATGTATTTATATTAATCCTAAGGAAAGCTTATCGTTTTACTATTTTTTTTTTAAAGTCAGGTCTAAACAACTAAGCCTAATGCCTCGCGTATAACCCAATGAGCACCTAGGCTCGTCCAAACCTCGCTTCCTCTTTTGGTTTTTTTTTTTTTTTTTGTGATTCATAAATCCTACTTGGCATAAAATATAACAGAGAGTGGAGCTAATTCCTTATAATTTTTAAACATCTATATTTTTCTCTTTAAATATCTCAAATAACCCTATAGATACCTCTTGTTATTGTTAAAGGTGGCAACTAATTAACTTAGACTAGGTTTCCATATACCCATCCGGACCTATAAAATCCAGAATCATCACCTTTATTTACCATCTACTCATAAAAAATAAGAATTACAAAAAATAAAAATAAAATACATGGTTTTTTTTATCTGTTCATAACCTATTCATTATGACTCAATTGCACTCGTTCACAATATGGGTTTTTTTCATTAAGCCGGTTTTTGGGTTTTGCATGCTTTTTTCGCATATATATTTTTTTTATTTTACTCTTAATTTTTATGTTGCCACTTGATAGATTTGTGTAATTTCGTACTTATCTTTGATTGATTCTACTTTTAATTTTCTTATTTGGTCTTTTTTTGTCTTTTATTGCTTTTTTTTCTCGATTTTGAGGTGCCACTCGCAATTCAAGGGTCTCTTCATTATTGTTTGTAGGTGATTTTTTTTCTTTTTCTTTTTTTTTAACAAATACCATACCGACATATATTATTATTATGTTCTCTCTTTTGCTTTCAACAATTTTGATTTCTCACATGTTTTTTTCTAATTTTACTGTTTTGGGTTTGGGCCCACCATAAGTGTTTTTTTAATGGCTCTTTTGTTTTTCCTTAAAACCAATAAGAATTCATTTTGGGGAAATTTTTTTAGGGAAATAATTTTTTTATTTTTGATACTTAGTGTGTGTGTGTGTGTGTATAATTGGAAAAAGCTTTATGGCTTTTTTATATAAAAATAAATTCAGCATAATATTGAGTCCTTTTTAAAAAAAAATGCTCTCTTTGCAAAAAAAAGGGAGGAAATAATAGCATAATTTTTTAGTTGATTGATGAAACAATTCCTTTGATCATTTTTTTAACACATTAAAGCTATGATTTTTTTAATTAATATAAATGTTGAAGTTTCAAATAGAATGCATATGATATTTAAAAAATATATATTAAAGAGAATGCATATATATATATATATACACACACACTAATAATCCATTTCTTATCCATCATTGATAAATTAAAGAACTATATAAAGGCTTTTTGTATATAATCCTTCGATAGAATGATAATTTCCCCATTAGTTTTAAAAGATATGCACTTTTTAACTTTGACCTACTTTATTATGTAATTGATTTTATTTATTTAATAATTTAATAATTTAAGTTTTTTTGGCTCAAAACCTTGCTTACGTGATGGTTTCTAACATCAAAATGGGCTCGGTCTAATGGCATTCTCTTTGTCTTCTCCCACCGATAAAGTTTTTTCGAGACGTTTAGAGGTAGTCGGTGGTGGTTGTATAGGCGGATGTACCTTCTACCTCTATTTTATCTTATTTTATGCTATTAGGGTTTTTTATTTGTATGCGTTAGTGTGTGTCTAGGTGAAAATTAGGATATGATGTATTTATATGAATCCTAAGGACAACTTATGGTTTTACTATATTTTTTAAGGCTAGGTCTAGATAGCCAAGCCTAATGCCTATCGTGCAACCCAATAAGCACCCGAGCTCGTCCAAGCCTCGCTTCCTCTTTCGTTTTTTTTGTTTTTTTCTGATTCATATATTCTAGTAGGCATAAAATATAACAATGAGTGGAGCTAATTCCTTATAATTTTTAAACGCCTGTATTTTTCTCTTTAAATATCTCAAATAACCTTATAGATACCTATTGTAATTGCTAAAGGTGGAACGAAGTAACTCGGACTGGGTTTCCATATATCCATCTAGACCAATAAAATCTAGAATAATCACCCGCATTTACCATCGAATCATAAAAAATTACAATTTACAAAAAAAAAAAAACACATTGGTCTTTTTTTTTTCGTTCGTAACCTATTCATTAACACTCGATTGGATTGATCACAACATGAATTTTTTTTCATTAAGCCGATTTTTGGGTTTTGCATGTTTTTTTTTTTTTTTGCATATAATATTTTTGTTTTACTCTTAATTTTTATCTTGCAACTTGGTAGATTTATGTAATTTCGTACTTGTCTTTGATTGATTCTGCTTTTAATTTGCTTGTTTGTCTTTTTTCGTCATTTTTTTTCTTTTATTGCTTTTTTTCACTCAATTATGAGGTGCCACTCGTAATTCAAGGGTCTCTTCGTCATTGTTTGTAGGTGGTTTTTTTTAACAAATACCATAGCGGTGGGGATTACTATTACGTTCTCTCTTTTGCTCTCAACAATTTTGATTTCCCACGCGTTTGATTTTCATGATTTTACCTTTTGGGTTTGGGCCCACAATGAGTTTTTTTTCAATGGCTCTTTTCTTTTTCCTTAAAAAACAATAAGAATTCATTCTTGGGAATTGTTTTTAGGCAATGATACTTAGTCTATATATATATAATGGAAAAAAGTTTTATGGCTTTTTTATATAAAATAAATTCAGCATAATGTTGAGTCCTTAAAAAAAAAAAAAAAAAAAAAAAAAAAAAAAAACTCTCTTTGTGAAAAATGAGGAGAAATAATAATGTAAGTTTTTAGTTGATTGATGAAACAATTCCTTTAATCAGTTTTTTAACATATTGAATCTATGATTTTTTTAATTAATATAAATGTTGAAATTTCAAATAAAATGCATTTAGTATCTAAAAAAATTAAATAGAATGCATATATATATAAACCATTTCTTATCCATCGTTGATAAATTAAAGAACTATATAAAGTCTTTTTTGTATATAATCCTTTGAGAGAATGATAATTTTCCCATTAGTTGCAAACGATTTGCAATTTTTAACTTTGATCTACTTTATTTTGTAATTGATTTTGTTGACTTAAAATTTAATGATTTAAGGTTTTTTTTGGCTCAAAACCTCACTACCATATTTAACATAGGATCGACTTAAGCCTCACACATAATTACCAAATATGAAGTAACTTTTTTTTTAGTATTTCAAACATATACGAGTATAAATATTTAATATATAATTTTTTTATTTTTAATAGAATAATGCAAACATTGAGATAATATGACAAAAAATACTGAAAAATTACATATCTAACCATTAAATTAATAGACCTACAATATTCAATCATGCATACGTAAGCCCCACACAAAAATGACCAAATCTAGAGTAAAATTTCTATCATATGAAATACATATACATATAGTATCTAATATTTATTTAATTTTTATAATTAATTTCAATATAAATTCTTTTTCAATCATATATGACAATGAAATACTTTTTTTCTTTTCACAATTACAATTACAATTACATTTAATCTCTAAATCAATTACAAACAACCCTAAAATAGTTGGGTTTTTTTTTTTTACTGTTTTCACACCGTTCACCCACACAAAATACTATTTGTTGGATGACATTTTTATTATTCAAATCAGTAATATTTTTTTGATTTTAAGTTTTTTCAAGCATTGTTCACCCTACCGTTATTGTGCATTGAGTGGTATTTTTGTAAATTTGAGGCTTTTTCAAGTATTCTATATGTAAATTTTTGCTCATGTTTTTCTTTCATTCCTCATTTGTTTAATAATTTTTATTTCAAACCATAATTTTATTTGTATTGCAATCTGGTTCCTAACTCGTTAAGAGAAGAAAGAAACAAAAAGAGAGGAAGAAGAGATCTATGTTGGATTTTTTAATCAATTTTATGTTATTTGCTCTTAAAAAATTGATATAATTTATATGATAGATTATTTTAATTTTTAAATGATAATAGTATGGTTATATATAGATAATCAAAAAATTAAAATTGTTTTTATTTTCAAAAAAATATGAAAGTTTTTGGTTAAGAATCTATGGATTTTTAAATTTTTTTACAATTTTTAGTTAAGAATCCATATATAAAAGAATAAATCATGTTATTGTTAATAGAACATTTATAAAAAAAAATGATAAATATTTGCAGGTCTTTTTTTTTTTTTTTTGTACCTTCGATTTGATATATTTTGTAGGCCTATAACACAGCACAACAGTCAAACTAAAATTATTTTTAAAAATAAATTTACATGTGCTATCTTATCAGCACAATGACGCAAGTAAAAAATTGTTCATATCTAGAATAATATACAGTCTTTTGAGTTTCATGTGCATTACAAAATCATATCCTAGAAAATTGGAGCAAAACTTGTAAATTTCAGATAAAATCTTATAACTATGAAATAACAATCAAATTCATGCCATTGTCCTTGCTACTGATCCTCTTTGTGAACTGTAAGGATCCAGAATGAAGAAATTGCTTGGATTGCAGCCCTAGCATGTACAAGAAATAATCAGGATAACTCTGCAACAATTTTAAACAACAAAAAGAACATTTTCCTCGCTCTGTATACTTTTTAGCAATACAGGAATCAATGATTAGAGGCAGGGTGACAGAGTATAGCAGTTTTGATAGAAATTCAGGCGACAGAGAGATGAACAAGCAGCTTACCCAACTCCAAATTGAGTCTAGTTTTCCCCACTCCCAATTTGACCATGATAAAGACAAATAAAAATCCAACCGATTGGATTGATCTCGGAATGAATGATGCAAAGGAAATTACCTAAAAACCTAAAACATCAGAGATAAAGGAATAATAATTACTGTTCATTTGAACAGTAATTTACTGTAATGTAGCTTAGTGTTCCTTTTTTTTTTTTTTTTTTTTTTGTATTTTTCAAGTTGTTTCATTTTTGTTCTTAAAAATTTAAAATAAAAATTTTAATCTCATAACTGATGCACTATCCATGCTTTTTTTTTCTTTACTTTTTTTCATCAATTTATGTTGTTTTTTTAAAAAAAATTGGGTGTTAAAAATTTGAAAAATCAAATTTTTCTTTGTTTTTTTCATCAATTTATGTTCTTTTTTTTAAATGGGTGTTAAATTTTTGAAAAATCAATCTTAACTTTTTTCCACACAAATTGATGATTATATAAAATATCTTTTTATATTTTAAAATTAACATATATTTCAAACTTATATTACTCTTATTATTTAAATTTCATTATTTGAATTTATCTTTTTTTATGAAAATTCTCATCCAATTAATATTTTTTTATATGAAGTTTTATTTATTGATATTATATAATTTATTTTTCATTATGTTTGAATTTTAGAATAAAATTTTAAAGCATGATTGTTTTTTCTTTTTTAAAATATAAATTGGTATAATATATATATCATGAATTCTTATAATTTTTAAATGATAATTGCATGTATATAAATATATAATTATTTTATTCTAAAAGGTTAAAAGTATATTTCAAATAATTTATCTCGAGTTCACTAAGTATGGTCAAGACATACAAAAAAATTATTGAATTGTTAATTTAATTAAAAATTAACTATACATCTTTCAACATAATACAAATTATTTACTATAAATATTTTTTAACATTATAGAACCAATTTATTTAGAATAAAATAATTAAAATAATTTTTTAAAGGAACCAACTAATTATTCAAATACTATTTTTTATGCTAATTTTATTGATTATTTTGTAAATAAATATATATAGATCAAATGCATATACTTGAAAAAAAAAAAATTCTTCTCACCAACTTCAAATAAGAATAAAATTTTATTTTTTCATTGGTTAATTTTTATGCAAGTCTATACATTAATTGTAACTTTATTTTTTTGGATACATTCTTATAAAAAAATATAATTTTAAAGTACTTTTAAAAAAATTCTTAATTAATATTTTAGGTTTACATTATTATAAGTTTTTATTTAAGAATCCTCAAATAACGAAGAATAAATCATGTTTTTTTAAGCAAAAATTTTATGAAAAGCACACAAAAAGAGAAGAAGTAATAATTAAATAAAAAATTAATGAAAATATTATAACATTTTGAAATGAGTTTGTTGTATTTACCCATAGTATTACGTGGATAATTTCAAAAATTAACCTTCTCATCGGTATTAAATAAGAATTTTTTTTCATTTGCTAATTTTTTTGTAAAAGTCTCGTCAATTAATTATAACTTTGTTTTTTAGAATATAATATTGTGAAAATTATATTTTAAAAGTTTTTTTCAATTCTTGATTAATATTTTAGCTAAACTTATTACAATTTTTAACTTTAAAATCAATCTATAAAGAAGAATTATTTATGTTTTTTACGCTGAAAATTTATAAAAACATTAAAAAATTAATCAAATAAAATATTATAATTAAAAAATTTTAAAATTTTAAAATTTTAAAATAATTTTGTTCTATCGAACCATCGGCGTAGCGCAAGCAACCGAGCTAGTTGTCAACTAAAAATGCTTAAGAATGACCCATCACTTTATTATACTAAATGAGTAATGTTAATGATGCATGATTAAAATCATATTACATAATATATATATAACTACTGAATAAATAATGGATTTCGACAATAATTTTCATGGATTTGGTGGTTGATATTTTTTTATAGATAAATTTTGTAGGGTTACTATGTATGATTAGTATTACTCTAATTATATATTCTTGACTTATCCAAAAGATAAACTCTTCTTGGGATCCCAAACTTTTTTAGAATTACCTAAAGACTTTATCTTCATCTTTTTTTGTGGCCACTTATCTTGAGTTTTATTATTATTATTATTTACAAATTTCAATAAAATGTTACCTATTATTAGCTGGTATAGGCATTTCCTTGAAATTTATTTGTTTGAAGGCAAACTAATTAGATTACAATGTATCAATTTTCTTGTGATTTGCAGGACTGTAATCTATCAACTTTCTTGTGATTTGCAGGAAAGTCATGCAAATCTTTCGGGGGTTAAGCTTTTTTGTCCTCTCGTTTGTGAGTCAGGCTAGATTGTCTCCCTTTTATATTTTTTCACTTGATTATTAATAAATTGTTAAGGTACTGTCCCTGTTTGATAAATAAAAAAAATAAAAATAAAAAGCTATTATGTTACAAGGAAAAAAAAAACAGAGGTTTAATTTTAAAATGTTTTTGTTCTTGCTTCTAATTTAAAGGAGGGGAAAAGGCCTAATTTAGAAGTCCAAACCAATATTCTATATAAGTCCAAACCGATATCTTTTTTTGTTTCCCAGAATTATCTTGGTCATAATATAAAGGCATGGTTACCAAAATTTATACTACCAAGTTAGTAGGGTTAATTACCTGTATGACCTCCTGAAGCTGCAACATGAAGAGTAGTAAAGCCATCAAGTTCCAACATTAGTAGTTATTGAAAATTCAAGAGAGAGTCCACCACATCAAGTTTCCCACTTTCACATGCCACGATTAGGGCACTCTCGTAATATCTAATACACGTTCACTAATTAATGAGCCTAATTGAGCATTTATGAAGTGTCTTCTAGTTTCATTTGTTTCGAAAGAAATAATATGTTGATAACAAAAGCTAAAAATAGTTGCACCAAATGCAATTTAGAAAGTGCACGGTTGAAGTTCATTGATAGGTTCAGCTTTACGAGTTACAAAAAATTCAATTTCATTCAACAAATTCAAGTTAATGGGAACGTATGTCAGAGTGGAGCAATATATGACAGAAAGTGAAGTTACCAAATCAACAGAATTGATTATATTAAGGTGAGCTATGGGTCCTAAGATAACATCTGCAGAAGCTATTATAAGATGAAAATGACGAACGCACATGCCACAAGTGTAATTACAATAAATTTCCCTCCGCTTCGCAATGCGAGAACTACTCAATTGCCCAAAACAAACAAATAAATAAAGATCGAAAGCATCGTTTTTAAGACTGGCTGCTTTGCCTCCCCCGTTTTTCTATTCAAAATAAGTTCTGCTGTATCATTGTCGGGCTCAAAAATCATGCAGTGTAATTCTTACTTGCTAAGCTGTGTTCGACCAATGTGCGACAATCTTAATGATGGAATTAGATGTGCTTCTTCATCGACATTCATATCAGAGGAAGAAATATTCCCCCCACCACCTCCTCCATTGTTATCACTGCTGTTACTTGGTGTGAATATATCAGATGACTTCTTCTCCAATTTCCAATCCTGTGACAAAATAATATGGAAACCTAAATTATTAGACAGATATAACATTCAATGGGTAGTTGGATAAGTAAATGAATGGCATTTGTCTGCTCTAATTGATAATAGTTCTACAAAACCAGCAACTTGAATTCCAAGCTAGGATTGACTTTATACAATATCAAGCGGGTAAATCAATTAACTCAGCTAATATTCACGGTGCTTCACTTATTACCTAATAACAAGCTAAAAAATAGGCTAAAAAGTGTGCTGTCCAACAATGTTTGCTAGACACAGAATGCTTATAAAGCAATTTGAAAGAGTTCAACAGCCAACCAAGATTTCCATTTCCACGGTCCAAGCATGATACCCGTCACTAGCATATAGTTCAACTAAAAGAACAAATATGCTAACTCTGCCTTGTTTTTTAACCAGTCAGTAATTTTCCCAATATTTTATAACATGTCTGAATCTTCCAGAAAGAAACCAACAGATGGAAAAAAAAGTCATATACTATATTGATCAATTTATAAACTATGATATATCTTTAAACAAAGTTTTTCATTATTCATCAAATTCTTTCCACACTTCTTTTCCACTGATATTGGCAGTCATTTGATCACTTAAATGAAAGAATTAAAGATTGACAAAGCAAGTCTTAAGACATCAAGAGCTATCAAAAACATTAACCTTTATCATTCTATCTGAAATATTTTCAGGCAGCTGAGATGCACGGACGTCCTTAACCTTCAAGTAGTTGTACATGACAACACCACAAAGTGCTGCACAAAGTGGAAAAGGAAACATTGGTTAAAAAGAGGAACAATAAAAATCTTCCACATTCGCATGAGCAGAGAAATACCAATTGCATAACCAATTATATTCAGCCCGGTTATTGTAGACTCTGGGAAAATGACGGTAGAAAGGGCTATAAGTATCCAGTCTTTTAGTACACCTGCAACTCTGATGGTGACTGCACCAGTTCTACCAATTACTAAGAATATGGAGAAGTTCAAGGCCAGCGCACAAAGAGCATTGGAAAAGAAGATCCAAAAGTTGAACTGAATCTGTGAAACTTCCATCGCAGGCTTCTCCAGTACATACCAAGGCGCACACAGAAAAACAAAACTGCAAACAAAAAACTATTCCAACATGAGCAGCTGAGCCCTAATACACCAGTCAATCTAATTGCATAGAAAATATCATCGAACACAGCATCCATTTTTAGGAGAACCCAGATGGCATTCTCAGTGTTGACAGTAAATTGGTATGACAGCTAGCCAGATCACCATAATTTTGTATTAGATACCATGTCTATGCATTTATGACAGGGTTTTTTTTTTCAAAAACAACTTTTACAATGACAGGAACAAACTTAAATGTGGAATTTCAATCACCATTAAAACCACATCAACAAAACTTAATTGGAATTTCAGGATATATACAGTTGATTTTAAATTGTCGATTATGTTATAAAGCTTGCCATGCATAAAATGCTTGCACACAAGAAAGAGGGTAGAAGAAACCAACTATTTTGCCAATTTTGTTTCATATCATAACACCATATGAAATCGTTCTCTTTGAAATAAAAACAAATATTGAAGCATTTAAATACAGTACCTGCATGGAGCTATGTAATATAAGCTGGTTATAGGATTTAGCGTCAAGCCCTTCTTCTGTAGAAGAACTTGAGTTAAAACCAGCCTAAGAGCTTCTGCAAAGATGCCAGTGACCTGGTAAAGTGTGCCAACTACATTAAAATGAATTTCCCCGTATGATGAGATGACAACTCCAACACTGACGAGCAACATGTTTAAGAACACATCACACCTTGCTTTGTCAGTGCCACACATAACAGCCATGATAAATGTTGCCACCGGCACTGTAAAATATTCATCCAATATAAGGAGCCAATAGGTTCAGCTTAAAGAGCATTATCATAGAATTGAAAAAAATTATTTGTACTTTGCATAGACATACTTAGAGCTTTGAGCATCTGGATGAAGGCCACTGAGATGTACAAGTATGCGGTGTTACCAAACCTGTTAAGTCAAGAAATTAAAAAAAATCAGGGACAAAACCAGAATTCATAAACTGAGGGGGCCACAATGTATAGTTTTGTTAAAAATTATTTTCATCAGCTCAGAAATATCAAAAGCAAAAAAAATAAATTTATCTATTCTGTCCAAAAAAAGGGGACAATGTAAATTTGCTTGAAATAGTTTCCAAATAGCTATTTTGCGCCTTTGCGTCCACATAAAGCCTTTTATTATATCTCGACGAAAGTCTGATTGTTGTGAATAGCGTACCAAAGCCACTTTGCCTGTTTGATCAAAATTAGTTGTATCTTTCATTTTTGGGGGTGGGGGCATTTCATAAAACTACCTTTAAAAAGTTGTACAAGTTTAAGGGTGTTTTAGAAAACATTTCAAACTTCAGGCACCCCCTAGATTTGTCTCTGAAAACATTAAACAGTCTCACTCCCCCAGAAAAGTCAACATGAATCATAAGAGTTCAGAATTGTCTCAATGCTAAATTTGTTAAACATACATATAACATGAGGTATTTAATTTCTTGAACAAAAACATAGAATAAATTGTCCAGCAGAAAATGTAACTCAATTATAAGTTATCAACTAAAGAAAAAATAGTGTAACTCTGAATATAAAGCATAGGTTCTAACATAGAAATGAGGCATAAAAGCATGTAAGATAGCATACATGTAAGCAATTGACATCAAAATCAAGCTGCAAATTCAGAACATGAACGCCTAAGAAAACCCTTCTTAATACAATAAAACGTCTCCCACTGGGAAACATTATATTGAATAAAGCTAAAACTACCATTCAAAAGCTCATCCAGTGAAATAAGCTGTATGCTAGGATATAGGCAGGATTTTTGGGTCCAAATACAAAGAAAAACACAGAATTAAGCAATGGAAGACCCCTTCCTAAATTATGCTCAGAAAACAGCTTAAGCTTGGACAAGGTTACAAGATCACAGACTAAGATCAAGAGATTAGCCATTGAAATAAACACCTGGACCACAAAACTGCTTCCACTTTCCACTTGTACATATCTCTATATTGGCAAACACATGAACCACAAAACATCTCTAAAACTTGCACAAATAACCTAGTGCAGACCATCTTGCCAAACCATACTTGCCTAATTAACATATGACAAATCTCAGTAGGTATTTCAGTAGAGATCCAGGTCTGATGACAATATATAATTTTTTAGGAAGTTATTTTTCCAAAGACTGGCATGAAAAATTAAGAATATACAGCACACCAGATATTTATCGTTTTACATATTATTCTCATACGGTATCTATGAGCCAAATTAACTAATTTCTTAACAGAATAGTCTTATTAAGTTTAAGTTATTACCAAAGACTTGCTGCAAAGAAGGCACTTATTGGCACAACGCAGGTTATGTATCTGCCAAAAAAAAAAATCAAATAAAAAAAGAGAAGTCGGACGGATGACGGATAAAAATAAAGTAATAAAACAAAAATCATAACCATTTAAATCAAAGTTATCGCTTACATTTCCAAAGTCATTTTGACTGGAGATACAACCTGCACATCCAGAAGAGAATAAAAAATTACTTTCAGTACTCAGAGACCGAAAGGAAGCAATTTAGAGATGTTGGGGATGTACAGAGCTTTCAATAATGCATTTTGCTTGAGTATGTCCAGTGGGTGTTCAAACATTTTTGCAGAAACATGAAGCGTGAAGAATGTGGCCATACATTTGCAACATAGGTTAATGAGCAACACCTCAAAACACAATATGAGAACCTCCACATACATGCTGAATGTATAGCTAAAAGCATACAAGCATTCAGCAAGAAGAAACCTAATCCATCGGCTATTTTATTTTGTTCTTCAGAAAAAAGGTTCATCGTATAAAGGACCTAGCAAGTGATTCAATGAAGGATGGGAAATGAAATAAGAAGTTTTCACCTCTTTTTTTCTGGTTAGATAGAAACGAATGAGTAGGCTAGTAGCTAATAAGAATGAATATAATTCACTTTATCATGATTTCATGTCTCTCATTTGGTTACTGAGAAACTCTAGCACTAACATTCTTCACATTTTCCAAAGATCAATCCAATAAATTGTTTTTAAGATTCCATAACATTCAAAGATAGACAAAATCATAACTTAAGAAAGCAAACAAGAGGTACATTCACAGTCTTCTGTTCAGCCAATTGAAATCAGGTCGTATTCATTCTCATAAGTTAGAACCATGTCAGCCTAACTTAATTGACTGTCCTGTGGCTCCCATAAATAGTCCAAAAGCACATGGAATCAAATCATGTAGGAAGTCATACCTTAAATACACGAATAAGGAAAAAGGCCACAGCCCCCGAAAACCCCATATGAATCATCGTAAGCGTTATGGGAAATGGAAAGTTGAAATATTTTGGTGAAAGCACCCACTGCAACAAAATTAATTGAGTCATACTTCAACCAATAGTCACTTTGAAAGGACAACAGAGAAATTACAGCATAAGTTTCAAGTAAACCATATAAACCATAATGATGCATAAATGAAAATGGCATGATCAACTAAATAAACATGTAAATATGTCAAAATCAGTATTTTACTTAGCATCTCTGTTATGAGGCTCCTCTGCAAGTGCCAGGAACAGACTTAATCTAGGCATAGCTTCAGAGCTTACACTCTAGTGAATGAATTGAATGGCTTGGATACTGAAGCAATCCTTACCAGATTGGTCCCAAAGAGATAGGAATTTGGTTTAATTCCCCGGAAAAAGTTCATAGAAAGCAGGCAAGTGCTATAGGAAAAATTAGAAGAAAACACTGGATACCTGTTAACTTCACGGGCAGGCAGCCTACAGACTACCAGTTGGTTAGAAAGTGAGTAACTAGACACAATTAGGCCTAATATGAATCAGCTCACTTCATCATGAACTAAATGTCAAAGACAGGATGTTGGCTGATATTTTGATCATGAATAACAGGATGTGGCTAACTGCAATTTCAGGGTACAAATATAAAGCAACATACAGCATCAAAATACAAAACCATGTGGCTAATCGCAACGTCTGAGACTGAAAAAAACAACACAACTTCCATTATAATGATACTTAGGTTACATGTATTTACCTTGTTATACAAAATGACTCCAGATGAAAGCAAAATGTAGATCAAAAGGTAGAGATAAGTCAACACCAGCGGCTTATTCACAATCATGTTTGCCTTTTTGTTTGTTCTTTGCTTTGCTTCCACACCAAAACAAGAAAAATAAAATCCACCTACCGCTCCCTCTCTATGTATCTATATCTATATCTATATCTATAATAACAACAATAATACTAATCTACTATTACTTCTCAGGTTTCCTCCACATTATCCAAAAGTCCGTTTTAATTCATCGGTAAAAGACAGCTCACACATCCAGAAATTAAAGAGAAATACCTGCGGAAATAAATAAATAGATAAATTTAGTGAAAAAAAAAAAAAGGAAATGACAGGTACTATAGCAAAATCAACACCAAAAAGGAAACCCTAAATCACCAAAAATAAAAACAATGTAGAGAAGAAGAAATCTAAATCGAGCAAAATAAAATTGAAAGTATATCAAATTACCTACCAAATCATGAGATTCGATTGAAAAAGCGGGAATGCAAGGGAGAGAGAGTCAAGTCCGATCCGATCTATTGAAATTAACGGTAACAAATACGAATCACCGACTGCTAATGACAACGACCATTGAAAAGACTGAAGGAAACGAAGGGGACAGAGAGAGAGTGGAAAATGAAAATAAATGAATGACTCAGGGCCTGGTTAGTAAGTACCGAATCACTACTACTGCAGCTACTACTGCTGCTACTGATATCTGTGAATGAATGAATCGCAGAAGTTTTCTTCGTTTCGCAGAAGAGAGAGAGATTTATCATGGAAGGGGGGTTGATGTAAGAAGCTACAGTGTGAAGAAAATAGTACAATCATGGTTATTATATTATCTTTTACAGAGGAAAAATCCAATCCAATCATGTTATTTGTATTTTGTAGCGTTGGCTTAGCGTTTTTCCTTTCTTTTTTTTCCTCCTAATTCGGGGAATTTCTTATCCAATTTGGAATTAATTTTATTTATCTGATTTGGACTTGTTTCGGTCGAGGAAAAAAAGGAAACCGACTGATTAGCTCTTTTTTTTTTTTTTTAACCTATATCATTATATTTGTACACACAAGTAGGAATTCTAACAATTGTGTATTCCATAACTTTATTTAGAGAGTTTACTAGATGAAAAGAGAAGAAGAACAAATAAATGTCAAAATATTAAATAAGTATTTCTTATTATAGAAAGAAAGGGACATTAAAAAAAAAAAAAACATAAGAATGTATAAAAAAATGATAAGGATATTTATTCATAAACTCAATTGTTTTTTAATTTGTTCTCTTATTTCTCAAGAAAATATTCTTACTATTTTTTTATGAGATGTGGGTGTATTTTTTTTTTTTTTTTTTTTTGTCTTTAACTCTTTTTTATGAAATAAATATTGTTAGAGACTTTTGAGTAACATAAAATTTTTAGGAAGAACATAGCTTAATATGGCAATATTTGGAGATTAATTCAGTTATCATGGCAAAGACAAGGGGTTAATCTAGACACCTTTTGCATGAAATATCAATATGCTCAATTATAAACAAATGTTCAACACTAAACCATTAACCTATTTATAGAAGTCAAGACGCGAGACTCTAAAACCCATTTATTTTCCTTTTTTCTTTCTTTCTTTCATTTCAATCTCACAGACTCTAAAACTCATTTATTTTGTTTTTATTATTATTATTATTTCAATTTCTTTAGTTTGGTCTATAAAATTAATTTATCTTTTATTGATTTTATTTTTTGTGTTTATCTCTTTTTCATAAAATAATAATTATTAATAATTCTTTAGGTCTATAAAATTTATTGTTTAAACCATATCATTTTAGAGATGGACTATCTTAGTCTTGTTCATCAGCTTGTAAATGGTTCTGCCCACAGGGCCACAGACAACTACAAATCTTAATCTTTGCTCGTTCAACATATTTTAGGCGTGCTTCTTGCGTCAGTGTCCTTTACCTTAGACATATTAAAAGGAATTGTAACAGGACAGCTCATTGTTTGCCTAATAAGTTAGCTTCGGACCACAATGACCTCCATGTCCATATATGGAGGAGGTCCCCTCGCATGTTTTTGCTCTAGCCAGGAAGAATATGCTGTCTTTGTGAATATTTTTTTAATTCAAAGGTACGCCGGAAACTTTTATCTTGTGTTTGGATATTTTCTCTTGGAAGAAAAAAATGAGAGGAAAGAAAACTGTTTTTCATTTATTATTTGAACAAGAGTAAAAATGAAAGAAAAGAAAGTATATTTTCTTTGTTTGGATAATTGTAAAAAGAGTGAGGAAAGAAAATATATTATTCTATATTTACTATAATACTCCTATGATTACATTTCTATATTTAAATATTTATAATAAATTTGTATGAATATTTTTTTCATGAAATTACACAAATGATAATAAAATAAAAATCTAGCATGTAGCATCTATCCGAAATGACAAGATGGATAATGAATCGTTTCCGTAGAATAATCGATAACTCGTTTAGTAATTAACTTATTCAATAGCCAATTTAGATTAATTATCAACATAAAATTAATTTAAATATGTATAAAATGTATTATTATCTATGCATATAATAAGTTAGTTACTTTTACCTATCATTTTCTCGGTTTTTTTTTTTATTAAAAAATTACTATTTGGCAATTAAAACAAAAGAGTTTATTGTAGAATTACAAACAATCATGGTAAGTCAATTGAATCACAAAAAAGAGACAAATTGCATATTTGGACGGATAGGCATAACCTGTTACTCGGGTGAACACTCCAAATTTATTATAAAATTTACAAAGTTCTTGAAAGCCCAAGGTAGCTTTTGTTGCTCATTTTTCCGTCAAAAAGACTTAATCAAATGCAACCTACAACATCATGTTATGGTTGTCAACAATCCAACACACGAAAATATGTTTAGCTTTTTTTGTTTTTTAATAATAATTTTTTTCTTCTTTTGCAATAACTCCAAAAAGTGTTTAAGGAGTCTGTTTTGAGGGATGTATTGTGTCTGTTTTGGTGGGTTTTTTTTTATGGTTTCGTGTTTGGTTTAAGGGTGTTTTTGAAGTTTCTTTAGTGGTTCAAATGACTCGTCTAAAAGGGTTACTCTATAAGGGTTTTGAAGGGCTTTTGATAACGGTTTCGTGGCTGATTTTGGGGGCTTTTGGTAGGTTTTGGGTTTGTTTTGGGGTTGATTTTGGGGTCATTTTTTAGGGTGTTTTGAAGATTCCTTAGTATAATTTAGAAAATCAATTCTTACTTGTCGTTCTAAGCCCGCAGTTATTGTTAACATCGCCAAAGAAATTGGAACTTACTCTTACAACGTCATCAAATGTGCCCCATTTCTTTGCTTATGACTCATAATGTTTGTCTTGTTATCAAAATATCTTTTTTTTGCAATGCTAAGCAAATGAAAAAAGTATGAGGAATTTCTTTTAAGCCAAAGAAAATGTACAAATCTAAGGAGCCGAGGACTAATAAACGAGAGAAAAAGTAAAGGATAGTATCGAGTATAATGAAACTGTTTTCATTTATCCAATTTTTGGATCTCGGACCTTTACAACCAACAAACCCTAGTAGAAATAGGATCTTAAGATCTTATGTGAATCTTCCAATGCCAAGCGACATGTTGCTCGTTGAGAACCTCGAGTCCACAGCATTCCATGTCAAATTCATTCATGACCAATTCAACAACACAATAACCTTCTCTTTTACATCGATCTTCAATGGTTTTACCACTAATAAACTTGGACAACTCCTTGGACTTGCAAAACTTCACAAAGAAGAAAAATCCAATAGCTCCCACGATCATCAAACCACTTACCAAGAAAACAAGTCTTAGTAGCAATAGGCATTATAAGTACCAAAAATACGGATGGTACCAAGCACATTATAATCAAACCAGGCAACCTCATTGGAATCCTATAAGGCCTTTTTAACTCCGGCAATTTCTTTTTGAACCAAATAAAAGATGCAAACTCCAACAACATACCTAAACGATATATGAAGTTTGTCGACAAAATGATATCGGTAAAATTCATATATGAGACTCCAATTGTGATCAAAGTGGATATCAATATCCCCACCCAAGGTGTGTTGAATCTTTTAGACACACATCAATCACCATCGATCGATCCCTATTGATTTTGATCCACATAAACAAGCACCGACTCATCGTAAAAAATGAAATCAAGTAAGACACACAAGTGAAGATCACAACCACAAGTAAAGCCATAGGAAACGTTTTGGGGCGAATCCACTTCACCAGCCTAAAATGCTAACATTGTCCCAAAAATTCAAGTTCCAAAAAAGTGTGTTAAAGAGCAAAGTCTAGTCCTTTTTCACACCCTTTTGCCCTAAGCTTATCCACCTATGAGGATGAAGCTTAGGAATTGCTATCAAAGACATAATTATAGAAGGTGAAATTGAAACAAGACCAAGTAGAACAACAAGATAACCAATAATAGTCAATCCAAGTATAGTTTAAAAAAAATAAAAACAATGTTGAAATCAAGACGATAATTTTTCTAGGCCAACTCGATTCCAAAGCAAGTATTACCTTCTCCATGTAATCAATGCAAAGAATAAGAAAAGCGACAATATTTATAACACCACTTAAGAATTTCTAAGAACCCATCGAGGATCCAAAGAAAGGACCAAAAGCCCTTTCAGCCCATATAACAAAACCTTCATTGCCGAATAAGCGGTAGAGAGCTCAGCAGTGATTAGAGCCTCGGGAATACTCCATAGAAATGGAAATATCAAGAAACCAAGCAAGGCATAGAAAGGCCCCGCAGCCTGAGATCGTAGGTTCTTCACCATAAGGACCCTCAACAACTTCAAAGTGGATTAAGAATATGAGAGGGATAAGAGTGAGTTTTTTAGAGATTTTTTTGGTGGTGGCAATGGTAATAGGGAGTTCTTAAAGGGTGTCCGGTAGTTTGGTGGGGTTTCCAAGATCAAGGAAATATTCAAAATTCTCGATCCCAAATCTTATAAGTGCCGGATTTCAAACTAAGAAAGACTACTTCTTTACTCACTACTAGCGAAAAAGAGAAAGGCTTCTCACTCTTCCCTTAACTTAACGACTCGTGAAGAAGACCTAGTCGCTCGGAAACACCTAGAGAGACACGCTTTTTCTCGGATGAACTAATGCGAATGGATAAACTAATGCAAGGTTCAATAACTTGATTTACAAATTTGTGTTGCGGATCTTTTTTGTTAGTGGAGAGTAGAAAAGGAGGGAGACGATCGAGGCAAGGGCAAAAATGTGAAAAACAAAAAAAAAGTTATGTATCACGCTTTTCTCCCAATTCCTCCAAAATTTAAGAGGAAAATGAGTCTCACCAATCTTAAGTTTGTTTATTATTTTTTTCTTTCCACGAGCTTTCCTCCTCAAAACAAACGTTGGAAAAGTTTCTTTCCTCCCTAATTTTCTTTCTCTTCTTTCACTCTCAATCGAATCCAAACACGAGGTTAAGTGTTTGGATTGACAATTAAGAAGGTAGAACTTTTTTTTTTTTTTGTAATTTTTTGAATTTAAATTTTAAAATAATCATTCAAGAGAATTAATTATTTTTTAATATATTAAATTAATATATTGGATATATAGTTGGATTAAAAAATTTAATATCAATTTGAAAGTATAATCTCAATTTGAAAATACCTTTTATGTAAAATTTTAAAAGAAGCCACGTAGCACACTTTTGATGAAAGGACTGACAAGCATACTTCAATAAAGTATTTAAAACGTGACTATATTTTTTATTGTATTTTGGAGGCATAATTATGAACATTTTTGTTTGGCACATGCGGCAATTGATCTTTCTTTCTTTCTTTTCTCTATTATCATGTATTTTTTTGGTGTGAATCACAACATTTCACCAGTTTTAAAAAATAAATTAAAATATAATATAATATTTCAAGGATCGTAATATTCGTAATTAAGAGATAGAGGCTTAAATAATTAAAAAATAAAAATAAAACCTTATGGCTATAACTCTTAAGCTTTGTTTGTTGGGCGGAAAACTACTTTCATAGGAAAATTAATTTCTAAAGAAGTTATTTTCAAAAAATTATTTATCAAAAAAATATTTTTTGTCCAATGGAAATTACATAAAAAAAATATTGAAAAATATATTCCAAGTGTTTGTTTGATACCGAAAATTAAAATATAAAAACAATATGTGATTGTTACATCAACGAGTTTTGAGAAAACTTTAAAAAGGCAAATTTACAATTTCACAATATAAGATGCATTTAGAAAAATTTAATAAATTTTCATAAATATTGACTTTAAAATTTAAATTCAAAAATTAAAATATACTTTTTTAATTATCAAACCAATTTATGAAAATTAATTGGGACAAAATCAAGTCAATATTCACATTTAGTAAAAAAAAAATTATAAGTAATCATAGCATTGTTATTTTGGTAACTCAATTAAGAATTTTTTTTTTTTTGAAAAATTGAACTGATAATTTAGTCTAAAAAATAGTTGTATAAATTATTAGTTATCATTTGTAGATAATTTTTCATTTGGTTTCAAAAGATTAAGGTCGGAATAATTTGTAACTAATTATTCACTACAATTACCAATAAAATTTTACAACCGATTAAAGTTATAAATTATTGATTTAGTTGCAAATGTATATTGTTGAAAAAATAATATATTTATTAATAAACTAATTAATTTTAAAATTTTCACAAATGATTGGACTCTTGTAATAATCATTTTCAATAATTTAAGTATAATTTAGGTGGCTTTTTAGATAAAAGTAAAACAAATTGAGATAAATTATTAAAATATTTATTATAAAAAAATTTTATGGTGCAAAAATGGTTTTTAAGAATATTTAATGTATTTATAAATCAAAAAATCAAATGTTCGTAGAAATTGAGAAAAAACAATTAACTAATTAATCATAATTGATAAGAAATAATTAAAAATTAATTTGATATATTTTAAATAAAAAAGACGAGAGAAAAAAATTGTTAAAACATATTGAGAGAGTGGTAAATAACGCAAGAGCGGGACGAGTTAGTGAGAGAGAAGGAAAATGTTTTTCTCTTTTTTAACTCGGAAACTATTTTCCTAAAAATACTCTGTTATTTTTTATTGATTGAAAATCATTTTTCGTTGATATTTTTCCTAAATGCATAGAAACATTGAAAAATGAGAAAAACAAGTTCCTATAACATGTTTTCTCCCAAACAAACACAGCCTTAAAGAAAATATATATATATATATATGCTCCAAATTATGCAAAAAATAAAAAAAATAAAAAAATCAAACAAACAAACCTCATTGTTAAAAATCATCAAGTCCCATCATCTTTCATCATGGCACCTAAACACAATAAAATTTTGCAAGCTATAAATACATAGATTTGTACGAGAACGAACAATGTTGCAGGTGATCAATGAAGATGTTGTTTTCTGTCTAGTAAATTATAAATTAATTCTTCTATTTTTAATAAATAAATAAATAAATTTTTTATTTAAAAAATTAATTATTTAGTCATTTAATTAGTGTTGATTATGTTTTATTTAGTATTATTTTATTTCGTAAAATATCAGATTTTCTCATTAATCCTTTTATATTTGTTACTTATGTTTTCTTTTCTATTTCTTAAAAAAGAATTAAAATATATGAAAATTGAGAAAAAATAATTATGTTAATTTTTTTTTAAATATAAGAAAAAATAATATTTTTTGAAATAAAAGAACTAATTAGAGACTAATTTATAATTTACAATTTTTATTTACTTATTTTAGAAGGAGGATGGACATATATGAGTTGCTGGATTTGTCACTTAAAGGCGGGGATTGTTTCTACCTGGATTTGACTTAAATTACCGATTTTTTTTCTTTTAATTTTTCTTAGGTATGTTGAGTATGTTTGGTAATAACAACATTACTTGAAAATACATTTGTTTTATTATGTTGATACGGTGGTCTGATAACAGAGTAAATTATAAAATCAGTCTTTTTATCTTTGAAAAATGAATGAATTATTTTTCTTCAAATATTAATTATTTAATTTCTTAATTAGTATTGATTGTGTTTAATTTAATAATAATTTATTTCAAAAAATATTATGTTTTCTTATCAATCCTTTCACATTTTTTTCTTTTTATATTTATCAAAAAAAAGAAGAAGTTGAATTACAAAAAAAATCTAAAAATATAAAAGCTAAATAATTAATTTTCAAAAAAAAAAAATTCATTCATTCATTTCTCAAAACTAGAGAAATTAATTGATGATTTACTCTATGATAGCGAGGTTCCTCAGGATCATATATTTTTTAATTTTCGTATTTGTCCAACCTATATTTTTCTCTTCATTAGACACTGATTTATGTCCCTGCTTGCATTCCTTTGCACCTGAGGTTCATGCTATAAGTAAATTTTAAAATTAAAATCTCCAAGAAAGACATTGACCAGCAGTATTTATATTTCAAAATGATAGCTCATTGTAGAGGAATCAAACAATGAAAAATAGGTCTTAATGATTTAAGGCTGAGGTGTCTCTTTTACATAAATTGGAGTGGGGTTTTTTTTATTCGTGGGATTTTAGTTTTTTTTTTTTTTTTTCTTCATTATTTACGCCCTCTTTCTTTTTTGAAATGGACATTACAATCCTTTAAAGGTTATGTCCTTTTCGATTTCATTCTACATATAGAGTTTCACCTTGCACAAATGGATGACACATGACATGACCAGAATCGTTAAATTGGTTAACTGATGTATATGGATCGGCCCAATATCATTGACGGATGGAGGGATTTAGTATTTTACCAAACTAAGAAATAAAAGGATTGATATGACTAATTTATATTAGAAGAATAATTTGACTAAATTTATAGAGTGGAGTGATTTTTGGCCTTTCGTCATCCATCAACTAAATCTCAACCAAAGAAGACATAGTTGCTTAGAAAATATATTATAAAGATGAAATTGTCTCTAATCCTTTTTTTGGGTTAATAATGCAAACTCCACCTAACAAGTAAAGAATAATACACAATTCTAAAGTTTGATTGCACTCCAAAAGCAACCAATCAACAAGATTTCTCTCCTTTCGTACCAAAGATAAGAAGATGACCACATAGAGAAACTACATGCATAAAATAGTACATCATGGTCCCAAAATGAATAGTTAAAAATGTTGACAGTATAATAGGATATTTCCTAGAAATCACAACTAAACATCGAGGCCCATTAGGAGAACATGCACAACAAGTACAATCACCCCTTGCACAAAATTATTGGGAGATCAAAGAAAGTTCTACTACTGTGCAAGAAATCGAAGAACCAATGGACGAGATCGTGAACCTCAGTTATGATGCGTATGAGGTTTTTCTAGGCAAATGATTGGGATGGGTTTGGGTGTGGTTGTAAGCAACTAACTGTGATATTGGTAAAACACGTTTTTCTTAATAAGTAGGGGGGGGGGGGGGCCTTTAATGGATAAATTGGTGCTGAAAATGGCGATAGATTAAGTAAAATTAGAAAATGATGAACAATAATTCTAAATTTAAAAAATTGAGAAGTCAGAAATCTTAATCCTTTAGTTGTATATATAGCCAAAAAAAATTTTCAAACTACATGAAGAGAGAGAGGTAAGATCGTCTTTCTCTTTATTGCAATCATGTTTTTAATCTTTAATTAAGGGATGAATGTCTCTTATGATGGAGGATTCCTACTAAGAGCATATAATGACGTAACAATTGTTGTGAATTGGACTAAAGCGTCTTGAAAATATATTTCATTTAATGAATGTACTTCTTATCTTCTTACTAAGTACGGATTAAGAGATAGTTT